AAGTCAGAAATGGAGCTGTGGCTCAAGTGGTAGAGCGCTAGCCTTGAGCTGAAGAGCTGAGGGACAGCGCTCAGGCCCAGAGTTCAGGCCCCATGACCGGACCCCCCCCTCAAAAAAATAGAGGAATATATTACATAATTGGAGAGCAAATGATAGTTCATACAGCCTAAGAAAGGCAGAAAAAAATTTCTGAGAGCAAGGAGCATTTTAGTTGTGCCTTAGAGAGTGAATGGGAGTTTGGTAGGAGTGGTGGAATAATAGGACAGTCTAGGTGGAGGGAACGGGATGAACAGAAAACATTAGGACATATAGCTCTACAGAAGGTGGTAAACAATTCAGTGTCAGCTAAGATGTGGAAATGTGGGATGGAAACATGTATAGCCATTGTAATGGCTATACAATATTTGCTAAGGACTTCAGGTTTAATCCTTTAGATGGTATGGAATTCTTTAGGCTTTTTATCCAGATGAAGACTGAAGGTACAGCTCAAGCAGAAGAACATCTGCCTAGCAAGCTCAAAGTCTCTAAGTTCAAATGTCAGTATCACCAAAAAAATAATAAATTAAATTTTTAAAAAGCTGATGAACATTAAGGTTGAGTTGACTGATGTTTTGCAACAATGGTTCTCAACTCGAAGGAAGGAGCTATTTTGGCCATGTCTGGTGATATTCTTGGTTGCTGCAACTGGAATGAGGCTATAGACATTTTGTGAGTGGAGCCCAAAGAGATTAAACATTCCCAGTGTGTAGAACAGACTCCTCTAGTAATCAAGTATACAGGTTGAGAAACTGTGCCTCAGAAAGAGCATCCTGGCTGCAGAGGAAAGGTAGGTTGAATCAAGAAAGGGAGATGATTTAGAATTATCTCAGGATGGACCCAGGTTTGGGGAAGTATCCTTAGTGAGGCCCAGAAACATAGCCATCAAAAATTCCCTTTTTTTCTTGGCACTGGTGGCTCATACCTGGTAATCCTAGTTGCTCAGGTGGCTGAGATATGAGCATTGTGGTTCAAAGCTAGTCATTCAGCCAAGTTCATGAGGTTCATCTCAATTAACCACCAAAAAACCAGAAGTGGAGCTGAGTGCCAGCCTTGTGCAAAAAAAGCTAAGGAACAGTACTTAGGCCCTGAGTTCAAGCTCAGTACTATTATGAAAACACCATCACCACCACCACCACCACTACCTCCACCACGACCAACAGCAAAAGCAAACAAATATTAAAGTCCAACAACTCCCTTTCTGTCCCATTCACTTGAATAGTTGAATACATTTGAATTCCTAAAATGTTCTATCCTCAAAATTTCTTAATGGTATTAAGTACAGTTACAAGACATTCTTTTAATAATTTTAGTCTCTCTTCTTCCACAAGTTAAACTGGTTTCATGTTTTATTACATAAAGACCCCCTTTTCTTTTTTTTTTTTTT